AAGTAACGAGTCGTTATTTTTTGAGTAATGATAACGATAACGAGTTATTTTTTAAAATTAGTAGCTAGTAACGGTAACTAGTTATTTTTTTAACTCGGTAACGATATAACTATAAGTTACTCTTAAAAAGTAACTTTCCATTCTCTGTCTTTGACAATATGTTGAATTCCTTTCTAATCGGCGGCTCTCACCGTAGCGAGAATTCAAAATACAAATCGAAACTGCGTCAAGTCAGAAATTGTTTACAGTCAACGGCGTGAAACGTGCGCGATTTTCAAAATAAATTCCGAATAAAACTCAAGATAAATCGAGTGTAGGTGTGCCATTCGGACGGTTTTTCTTAAGAGAGCGAACCGGTGAAACAAAAGCCCGATATCTTCGCACCTTCCTCGTTCTATACGTACAGCTTTGCTCCTACGGGCTTCATTGTTGATATTCCCGAGGGCTCGCTCATGCGCGCCGCCGCGCCGAGCGAGTCTTTTGAGCTTCGCCAAATGATTCACGGATAATTCCCGATGCGCTTCTTTTCGTTCGCTTCATTTCATTCTATCCGTTACCTTTTTTGCATCTCCAACCCACTTCTCGTCCCGGAGAGGAATCGTCGTCTACAAGAAAGCTCTTTGCTGCAGTTCAAATATCGATGGTTGGGCTACTTTTGGGTTCACCGGGATGGATCGATAGTCTGCTACGTTTAATATTTGCCGCGTTGTCGATTTTCTGATTTATTTGTAGTCCACTGAGCAAAAATATATACCTGTTCCGTTTTTAAATTAATGACATATTAATGCGGACCTGCATAAAATTATATACATGGAAGAATATATAGTGCCTTTCTGTTCAATAGTTGATCTTGTAAAATGTTGCGTTTAAGGGGACTGAAAGATCAAATTGAATTTCATATTTATTTTTGTCAATTCTCTTTTTCTTTGATTGAATGTACTAAAGCAAAATTTTAAGTGATATTTGTACATTATAAAAAGTAGAAAATTTTTTACTAAAAAATTATTGATATATAAGCTGTACGAACTTATAGTGCAAGTTTAGTTCGTTTCTTAAACATACTCGTCGTTTTGCAGGGATAACTTTCTTTTCGTATGATAGATGCAAATTTTATATTATGTGCAGGATAACTATAAAATTTCGAGTCAATTTCGAGCAAGAAAAAGATAAAATAAAGTTATTTATTTATTACAAGAACTAAGTTTAGCGGAACATTTCAGTCTCACTTGGCTCTTTTCAATCACGCGTATAAACGTTAAAAACTTAAAAAATAGTAATAACCCCTAATACATTGTCTGCATATAAATTAAAAAAACAAATACAAAATGAATATGAATAAATAAATGTTAAATAAAACCGTTGGAGAGCACAAATAAAAAGGATCTACACTATTGGATAGAAAAGCAAATTCCTGTAGATAAAAGATAAGAAGCATTATAAATAAGTAAGCCGAAGTAGTCTGGTGTCAAGAAATTAAAAGCCATTATACTTTTAATGATGAACGAATGCAATTATGGCTTTTAATATGTGTATATATGAATTAGTAAATAGAAAAACTATTAGAGTCATTCGGGGTAAACGTGCGCATTGAGTAAGTATGCGAATTGTTTATATTTCATTAGGAGGGGAAGGTGGAAGTTATAGTTACTGTTAGCCGAATAGTGGCACTTGCATACCAGTAAAAAGTAAACAGTAGCTGGAACTCCATGCGCAGTAATAAAATAAATATACGCGTAGTTATAAAATAGCACGTAACATCGATAGATTTTTGATTACTGGAAAGTGCAGTATTACGTCAAATTAAAAAAGAAAAAAGAGATGATTACATATTTTATACATAATATTATAATGTAAAGCAATATAAATATTATAATGTAGCAATATAAAGTTTATATTGCTTTACAATATTAGAGGTTGTGTCGGCTATTGATCAGTACTGAGATTTAGTTTTTAAAAACATTGCCTTGGAGCAAGTGTACACTCGCTCACTAAAAGGTTGCGACACTTTCTTTTTTATAGGTTTCAAAACGCACTAATATTTTGCAAATGCGGACCACGATTGGTGTTATACTGCCTCTAGACTAAAAATAGTACATCGTGGTTTGCATTTGCAAAATATTAGTTCTGTCTCTTATACACATCTC